AAAAATCATTGTGTATATGTTGATGAGTCTATATCTAACTGTGTAAACTGAAATCTCATTTGAATTGGAGAATTTTTTTTGACCTTGAATATTAAAAACTAAATTTTATTTGTTAAAAGTTTTGTACTCAAAAACACATATACAAACAAAAATACAATGCAACACTGCTGAGTTAAAACCAACTGCTAAGTCATTTCACTGCCATGATTAGAGTCATCTTTATGTTCATAACCCAGAGTGTAGAAACACTGATGTCCTCAACACAGATCTGCATCACTGGTTTCCTCAACTGAGATCTGCATCACTGATGTCCACAAAAGAAGGATGTATCACCTTACAGCACCAGCCCTTTCATCTGTTCAATCTTACTTGGCTCAGCTTGTCAATATGTAGTAAGCAAATTGAAGTTGCCAGGTTATCAGAGAGCGTATTCCAACAAGGTAACAAACACAAATGTACACTATACTTTAAAAACACTGGTTCATCATCACAGTTGTTGAGTGTTGCCATGGCAAAAGATGATGAGATGAATTATATGATTCCATTATAATATTGAGTACTGACAACCATCTTTGCATATTAAGTACTGGTCCAGCTATATTGCCGATAGTCTCTATATACAGTCTTTATAATGTAATACGCAAATGACGATTCAAATAAAATACACTTGATATAGTTTATATTATGACTGAAAATAAGAAAAACAGACATTATTATTATTACATGGCATTGAAAACAATAATGTTAGGGATGAATAACTAGCAGGTAGTGTCAAGGTCAAGGCCGGCTAGTTGAGGTGACCTGTCAGCTACATGTATGTTGAATTCAAACTTGACTGATGTATAACTTATGTGTAACAGTTGATTTGATATTATTTCAGAATAGTGGTAATGATTTTGAATTGATTCTTAAAAATACAAGTCATTGAAAATGACACAGTCTCCGTAAAATTTTTGAAAGCTCTCTTTGTGCTCGTCATATTAAAGTGGAGGGGTTGTCGCGAGCGTGTCCTTGAAACTCATGTCCTAAGTGGCAAATACAACAGATTGTTTATTTACATCAAATTCAAACATGTGTTGCGTGACGACCCCTCCGGTTTAGGACATAGCAAAGAAAAACACAGATCACAAGTGAAAGCATGTCCAAGTTATCACATTTTAAACAAACAAGATGGCCACCAGTCGGCCATATTTGTTTAAACTGCAAATTGACATGTACATGTATCTAAACCACTGCATGTGCACATGTCCCACATAAAGTACTAGACACATGCAAAGAATGAACGGAATCGGTCCAAAGGATCCTGAAATACGACTCCGGACGGACGAACGGAGACCGAATTATAAGTCCCCGTCCGAATGAGGACTAAAAATGACATGCACCAAGGTACTATTTTGTTAAATTAAATGATACATGTCCATACATGGTAGCAGAAACACGTGATCTTGCTGATTTTTTGTTCATGCCATTTGGCCATCTTGAATTTGATTGGAAACAAATGTCACAAAATGTATTATTCATGTGTGAAGTCATAACGTGATTTGTCAAGGCATGTTTAGAGACACGGTGAAATTATAACTCCTTGTTTTCAAACT